TTAGCTACGCATACTTAATACTAAAAAAATGATGACAGCTTCCTTCAAATTACTGAGCTGTTTACTGTTTCTTCTCACTTTCTTGTCACTTGTTGGATTCTTGTTTTTTCTGCTCACTCTCTCTAAGCAAATGATCTTTATTGGGTTTTTGAACAATGTTAAACCGTTGAATTTTTGGTTACCCTTTTGATTTGAAATGAACACATGGTTGCAGCGAATGGGAAATATCGATAAAGCCGTACCTTTTTTTGGGCAAGGATTTAACAGAATTTATCCACTTATTATGGTTATCTACACAATCATGGTTGCGAGCAATTTCTTTAACCGGATCATCAGTTTCTTTGGCAACTGGAAGATATTTAGACTTCAAACAGAAGCAGATGATGTGGATGGTTTTGATCCATCCGGAATGCTTATACTACAAAAAGGTGAATGATGCGTCTGAACTGCATACTTTTTATGGTCCTTTACTGAAGAAGTTAATACAAGAGATATCTCACTAAATATTTGCATTTCATTATTGAGGTCCTATGTGATATTATGTCAAACTGACCAAATTTATTTTCGCAGAAAGAATGTGGCTGGAACAAGGCCGTAAAGTTGGAGAACATGTTATCCCATTGGCTAGGAATTTCAATGGTGTGAGCATGGACCTGGAGTCTGGTGACAATGACACTGTATGCCCCCCGCCCCCCTTCTCTCTCTGCATTGGTGCATTTTTCATTTATTATTTTGGGGTGAAAAAATTTAAATGCTAATAAGTGTTGCATAAATTCTCTCTCATATTATTCTATTGGATGTGATTTTCATTTCGGATACCAAGTCCATAAAATCGATTGCAATTATTAGTCTGCTCTCTTCTACAAGAATTGTTTACTTTGTTTTTCAGCCTCTTGAAGCCTAATTACTTTGTAATAATTAATTTCTGAACATGGTGTTAATATGTCCAGGATAGACGTACAGTTGAAATGAAGGTGGCATCCGACTCGAACAAGGAGGATATGAAAGGAAGTACGTCAAAACCATCAAAAGACGAGGCCAGTAGATATGCCGAGAGCAAAGAAGCCATAAGCAGCAAATATGCTGCCATGAGAGAACATAACAAACAAGCATCTAACACGAAACCAGTCGAGAATATTGCTGCAGCTAAGGTCTCCTTGCTCAATGCTGGCAACTCTCAACCTGGTAACAGCTCTGGAATTCCATCGGGTTTAGCCTCAAAATGGGCATCAATGAAGGCAGGTTTTCAAACTTTCAAGACGAACATTGAAGCAAAGAAATTTTTACCTTTACGTCAAGTTGAGGACACGAAACTCTTATCTCGAGGTTCATCCTCTGAATCCCTGGACGAGATATTTCAGAAATTGAAAAGACCTGCCGCAGGAAATGGCCACTCTAGTGATGGCGATGAAGATGAACATGATATCAGAGTTTCTGGTCCTCGCAGATAGCGTTGTCAATACGTTTGAGTGAAATGCAATTGTGCCGTTGTTAGATAGGGAATTCGAGCTAACCCACGGGTGCAGGTCTCGGAAAAGGGTCGGTGCTTGATAGCAAGTTTTTGCCCATTCTTCGGCAGTTGTCTGATATAGGTGAAGGGAGCTCCTCGGGATAAAAACAGGAAAAGGGGTAAATATTGAACCACAAATTATCACCAATAATTCTTTAGTAAAATACTCGAATGTAGATGAACTGAAACAAGAATTATATTACAGGAGTATAATGTATATGTAAATCGACATGATCGTATTTGATTTGCTTTGTTTATCGGGCTTATGTTTTTTGGCAACTATCTGGCATTGGGTCTATTGGGATCGCTAAATACCCTCGAGTATTTTTCTATTGAAAGTATTTTCTTCATTTCCAGAATGATTTTGTTCAAGTTGGAATTTCAAAGCAAAGTATGAGCCTGGTGTTTATGCCCCATGTGAGTAAAAAATTGGAAAAAATATCCCCCCCCCCCCTCCCCCCACGTGAGTATTTTGTACATGTTCTGTGAACTATAAATTTGTACACAGGTTTATTGTTTTAAAATAGGTTGTCTTCTGAGGCATTACTATATTTTTAAATAAGATGAATTAAGAAATTGCAATTTGAAAGTTCTCGTAAGTTCTGTTCCTATGTCATCTTCATCCTGCCTCCGTCTTATCATTAATGGTGTTGCTGGGGATGGTAACTGCTCCTGCAATATTTTTAGATTTTATTTTAATTATATACAAGTTACATGTATAATTTGTTTCTTCAACATTCTTCGTCTCTGATTGAGAAAATTCTGATTCCGTCCAGTCTATATAATGAGTGGTGATTGATGGGAATGGGGACTCAAACGTTGTATTTGTCAAAATATGCGACCCCAGCTGCAAAATTCTCTAAAATAAAATCAAGTCACGTAAATTGCAATTCGTCAAAATTATTAATAAACCAAACGGCTCAAGCCGCATATAGTCACTCGGCTCATGTATCATGATTTAAAATTAAAAAATTGAGTAGAAAACAAAACGTAGGGTTCGGATACAGCATGTGAAGGGGTAAAGCTACTTTGACAGAATGAATGTTGGCAAGATATAGTTGAATAAAAAAAATTGACTGTATTTTAAATGGTCCAATAATATGATATCATGTGATATTATATCAAAAATTAAGTCAACAATTATGTTAATTGTCAATCGAGTATGGCTGACAACTTACCAGCAAGATGAAGAGAGAGAGCAAGTGGGACCCATTTCTGATATCTTAGGGGCCCAGCTTTGGCTCCACTTATCACCCACACTAGTGTTTCAAGAATCAGATTGGTTTGGCTCTATTGAAAATTGATTACGCTCTAAATTTAAAGATGTTCTATATTATGTATTAAAAAACTTGATGTTACGGCACTCTATTTTCATTTCATCCTTTCCAATTTTCAGTACATACAACTGCTCGGCCTGTCATGTATTGATGCCCAAGTTCTGTATTTATAGTGATAAGAACCCAAAAATTTAAATTGAACCTAAGTTCAACTAGAACTAAAATACTTAAAAAGTTCGAAGTCGTTAAAATAATGGTCGATTCAACTTCAAGAGTCTTTGGTTCACCTCTGAAATGGTCTGGTTCATTTTTTATTTTTTCAAATTATACGAATTGTTCGACTATTTGATTCTTGACCCTATTTGATTTGGAAATTTTTAACTTTTTTTTTAAAGTTTATCCTTTTGCTTTCCATTGTTATACTTATAGGCTCTTTCATTTTCAGATGGAGAAATTTGAGTTTTCCTCTAATGAATGATAGTGGCCTATCGATTGTTCCTTTTCATGGGCTCATTTGTCCAGCCTTACAGGGTGTTAGTACGGGCCCCACAAAGAAAGTTCCAACTTGGTGGGCCCATGTAAATACACTTGAAGTGCTACCAAGAGCGGCCCATGAAAGCGCCAACTTGATGGAATCTTTTGTCTGGCTTAAGTCTGCTTCATTGATATGAGTCTTTACCATACGAGCTGAGCTCGAGTGTTT